TGCTATAATACAAAATACTTGATCACCTACATACATATCTTGTTCAATGAGGCCTGGAACTTTCTATAAACTACACGAGAGATGCTATAATACAAAATACTTGATCACCTACATACATATCTTGTTCAATGAGGCCTGGAACTTTCTATAAACTATGCGAGAGATGCCATAATGTAACACTATTTGGTCTCCTACATATATATACCTTATTCACTGAGGTCTGGAACTTTCTATAAACTACACGAGTGATGCTATAATGTAACAATACTTGGTCACCTACATATATATCTTGTTCAATAATGCCTGGAACTTTCTATAAACTATGCGAGAGATGCTATAATGTAACAATACTTAGTTACCCACATATATACCTTGTTCTCCGAGGTCTGGAATTTTCTATAAACTATAAGAGTGACACTATAATGTAACAATACTTGGTTAAGGTAACGAGAAAAATACCAATGTGTTTTTAGGTGCATCAGTATAATAAAAAAAGGTCACCAGGTTGGTCAAATCGACCGAGTCTACATGGAGTTATGGAAGAAAAAAAACAGATAAAAATATAAAGTTTAACTGAAAAAAGTTTAATATTTATTTAGGGGGTTTTACAGGTTACACAAATAAAACTAGAAAATTTTCAGATAAAGAAAAGTATTTTTAATCTTAACATGAAAATCGCTTTGCACTCAGAGCAGTCAACTACTCTGACTCCTTATATTCCCAAACAAACCATTAATAAAAATACTTAATTAAATGGTAATCTTAAAAACAATATCTTAAATTACAAAACAAATGCTCCACTTTTTTTTAGTTCAACATAATAGTGATATACTTCATACATGACAAACCTTTCCTTGTCGTCTCTGTTATGCTTTGTTTTCTCCTTACTGCTGTGAGAATGTCTGCGTTCTCGACTTCTACTTCTTCTGTCACGACTTCTTCTCCTTTCCCAATCTCGACTTCGAGAATGGCGCACGTATCGCTCATGTTCTTTTTCCTTGCGTTTTTTTTCCTCTTCTTCCAGCTTTTTCCTTCTTTCCTCTCTTTCTTTTTCTCTACGTTTTTCCTCCTCTTCTTGTTTTTTGCGACGTTCCTGTCTTTCTTTTTCTCGCTGATTTTCTCGTTCCTCTCTTTCTTTTTCCCTTTCGTGCTGAAATTGTACCATAAAAAATCATGAAAAACTATTGATTTAATAGTTAAAAGTTTGTGTTATGGTATGTAAAATCTGCATTATATCTGACATAAAAAATCTGATAAAATAATAAAAGTTTTTGTAGCAATGATAGTTGTTGATATGTGAACCAGTAGGTCTAACAGTACCTTGGAGGAATAATAGCATACTTAAAATCTAGAATATGCAGTTTCTATAACACTTTCTTCTGTAAAATAAGAGACAATCAAAAATAAAAGTCTAGTTACTGTTCTAGCAATCCAAAGGGCATGATACAATCACTACTGAAATCTAACAAAGCAGCTTTTTTCAGTTTCAGAAACCTCAGAGCTACAAAAATAATGACACAAATGATATACCAGCAATCTGTAACAAAATAGTACATAAGATAAAAGAATTTCTGGGAACTGTGGTAGATTAAGAAACAACAGACTCAAGCTCTAAAATAATACTATGTCCAAACATCTTCTAAGTGGGTGTAATGTGAAAAGATAAGTAAACTTACATAAAGAGGTTCCAGTCAGAAAACAAGATTACAGCTCAGTTTTAATATAGTTACAAAACTCAAGTAAATTTTGTCTAATAATTTCTTCTAACTCTTTAAACTAAAGGATATAAAACGTACTTACAGTTTAAGAATATTAAAAATGAAAAAGTTAAGTGTTTTAAAAAAATTGTCAGAAAACTGCATTTAACATTTTAATTGTAATTCCAAGTTAATTTTCTAAACCACAATAATACATTATTTTCAGGCTCCAGGAACAAGTTTACTAATTGTGAATTTACACAAAGTGAAATCTGTCAGCTAGTATTCAATTCCAATTGATTATGTTTTAATAGCCTAACAACCTAGAACAGCACACAATGGTTGATGTTACCCTCACCCTTAAAAAAAAACAACAGATATAACTTATACAGCTTTTTTATATAAAAAAATACTCTCATGTGGATGTCACAGAAATTAATATTTTTAAATGTGCACTTTCCAGCTTTTAAGTTTAATGTTGAACTGTTATTTGCAATGTTAATATCTTAGATATAAGTTGTTTATTGTAAATAATGTAAGTGGATTCTACACTTAAGTAAACAGATTTCACCAAATATTTACTAAAATTGACAAACACAAACATCAAGTATAGCTCTGCCCACTACAAAAAGTTTCCAACAATAATTTAAAATGGCATTTGTGCAATATATATATAACAACACTGATACAAGCAGTCTTTTTAGGGCTGGTCTCTGTATTTAATAAATCATTATTATATTATATTCCTTTTAATTGTATACCTATAACAACCTCATGCAAACTGACACTTATGCTGAGTATAGTACATTCCCTGAAGTTCCCATACTGTAACAGTGAATCTTTGTTAGATGTCTGAACAACTATAAAGAATTAGGTTTCCTACTATTGTTTGATAGTCACTTAATAAAGTTTATGAAAAAATAAATTTGTTGAATAACTGGGTTTCTGCACGGATACCTTACACAATAGCATTAATTAAACAATTCAAGATTATTAAAAAGCCACTAACTTCTGCTTTAAATTATTTGTCTTTAATAACAAAAAATTTGGTTTTCTGTACTAATATAACTAACCACATTTCTTACTTTAGATTAATGTTACACAGGAGTAAACAAGAAATAGTAGCTACGTTAATAACCTTTCTTTTGTAACATGGCATTAGATCTAATTATTAATGTACAGTTTATAAGAAATTTAAAAACCTTAAAAGTGGTGTTTGTTACATAAAGAAGACATTATATCTTTGGAAAGTGGTTATGAAACATGGATGGAGCCCAGTTTTAAAAACAGCTACTTATGTAATGAAAGTTGACACATATCCAGCAAACTTAATAATACATAAAAATACAAACTTTAATAAGTTTAAATACTGAAAGCTAGAGAAATGTTAGAAACAATCAGGCAACATTTGTTATTCTGAAGAAAAAAACATTTGTAGTTTACAAGATCTTTATGTACAAAACCCATCTTTGGAAAACATTACAAGAAACAAAAACGTTTCTATAATATCTATCAATTTGTACCTAAATTTACGTTCTACACTTTCTGTCAATAGTTTTAATATCATCAACAATCTAACGTGACTGAACACATCTCTTGAATTACAGGATTTAAATAAAAACATATTGTAAAGTGTTCTAACCAAGATTTCTTCTACAGCGGACTTCAATCTAGCATATCCCACGTGTTGTTTACCCATCAAGTGATCGTCCACCCGCTGCTGAGCATCGCCAACAATCAGAAAAGCCCCACAAACTTCGCACACTTCCATCTGTTTTTCTTGGGCTGCAGCAATTTCTGCTGTTAGCTGAAATCAACGTATAATATGTTACTTTAATGTCATAGTTGGCTAGAAGAGCATTATAACATGTTATAACAACAACATGAATACGTGCCTTTTTAAACACACGAAGTATCTGCCAATTCCAAAAAAAAACAAAAAACTTTTAATTATCACTGATTACCTGAAATACAAACCAACCTGTAACCAATGACTTGGTTCAGAACCTTTCCTCATTGCTTCTCTCTCTTCCTTGAGTTGATCTACTAGTTTCATTATTCCTTGTGCTTCTTCTACTTTGCCTTCACATCCAAGTTCTTCCACCTATAGACAGATTCAAGCAAAAAGCTATTTACATACTGCATGAAGAAAATCCTTAAAAATATTAACTTTAAACCAAGTATTTTAGAATATGTTTTAATCACTAAAGTATTTAATGACAAAAGGTTAGATTTTACATGTAAGGTATATGTTACAGCAGTATTTCCCAAACTTTTTTGGTTACAGAACACTGAACACGTGAAATATCGGTGTAGAGGGTATGTTGTGCATCCAGTGCCCTCTAGATTTGTATATTATTTATTGAATCAAATTACATATTATTAAATTTTTATGCTTATAATGTATTTTAGGTTACAAACCTCTCCACAAAGATATTATGTAGAATAGATATGGCATCTTCTATAATTCTTCTTCAATGTGAAATCGATATTATCTAATTCTAATATATAAGAAATTATTTCATAATAAGTTATGATTGTACAATAAGTGTTAAATATTTTATTAACATTTAAAATCATGATTTTCTCATAGAGCACCTATCAAACTCGGACAGAACACCTTTGTTCTGTGCAACATAGTTTTGGGAAATGCTGTGTTACAGTATTTAATGACAATAGTTAGGCTTTAAGAGTAAAGTATACGTTACGGTATTTAATGACAAAAGTTAGGCTTTAAATATCATTACCTGTATCAATAATTCATTGACGCGGTCAGTTAACACCTGAATTTTCTCTTCACTGTTTTTTGATAATGGCACAGCAGCTATCTGCAAGAAGAAAAATTGCATTCATACAAACTAATGTATACAGTTATAGGTAAGACGTCTCTTGTTGACTAGATTAATATTACAATGACAAACAACAATTTATACACATAATGAATTGGTTTTACTATGGGAACATACTACATGTTTCAACAGAACACTGGTCAATCTTCTTCATTACGCTGTTGGTCAATTTACTTTTAGCACAATATAAGTAAGGATGTCTAGGTTTGTCATCCAACTCTGCTTTTGTCGAAGCTCAGAAAGGTGCACTTCATTAATGACATGAATATAATATTCAACTGTATTATTATTTAGTTTGTCATATCACGATAACAGGGTCACTGAGAGTAATGCAAAAGTAGGACAACGAGTAAAAATATAAAGTTTAATTGTAAATTTAAAACAGACACTGTCAAACATATTCAAATCAGTGGGTAAAATAACCACGATTTAAAATATATATATGTTGATTCTATGAAAATTGTCACTAAATTATAGCAAAGAATACAAAAGTACAGATTCTTTACAATAAACAACAAAGTCTTTCTTGTCTTGCTAAAGTTATTAACACTAAACGAATTATATTTAATATAAAATTAATCATTAGGATACACAGAAAACTACAAAACAGTCCAATGCTTTTATATAAGTAACTACAGAATAAATACTGTACAACTAACCCCTCCTTCTTGATGTCCCAGTGCTAACCTTCTTCTTGCTCGCTGGATTCTTCTCTCTACGTCCGAAAGCATCCCTTGGCAGAACCTTATAAACTCGTCTTCATAGCCCATTTGTTGAAAACAGTCACTCTCCTCGTACCTAATAAAATCGATGTTAATTTTACTTTCCTAGTACTATCCATTATTAAAGCAACACAAAGAAAATAATGCATGTATAGTGGCCAAATTGTTCTCAGTAATTTTAACCTTTAAAAAATGCATTTTTTAAAATTCCTTTCTAAACTTTCAGAGTTTATCACTATTTTAAAACAAGTATGAAAAGAGGTGTGTTCCAAGAATAAGACTACTCTTTAATTATTACAAACATCAGTCCACATGACTTATAACATAAGAAAGGGTGATATATTAATTCAACCTGGTTTAAAACCCATTTTTTATTAATGGTTAAAAAAATATCAACCAAAACCAGGATTTTCAGGAATATTCTGTCCAATTGTGGACTAGAATTAGTTCTGACACATAATACAACAAACAACACCCGATATTATCATGTACACCCAAGTTTTGAGTTTTAGAAAGTTATATTTCAAAACATCTCTGGCCATCGTCCATTCATCAGTTCACCAGACTGGTCATGCACTTTAAAAACAATATTCAATTGTTTACTAACTGCTCTTTTTTAAATACCAATTTTATCATAATGTTTCTTATATGAATATTATGTACAGAGTGATTATGAAGTTTCATATTTCACAGCTGACTTCTTTATTGGACTGTACTTTTTTTTGAAGAACCATCAGCACTTCAGACCTGCACAGTACAATGCAGTGCTCATAACCAATATGATTCTCATGCTGAAGCAGCAAAATGTGACAGACCCTATGGTTTACGGGTAGTACGGTATGTCAAAGACCCTACGGTTTACAGGTAGTACGGTATGTGATAGACTCTACGGTTTACAGGTAGTACGGTATGTGATAGACTACGGTTTACAGGTAGTATGGTATGTCGTAGACCCTATGTTTTACAGATAGTACGGTATGTGACAGACCCTATGGTTTACAGGTAGTACGGTATGTCATAAACTCTACAGTTTACAGGTAGTACAATATGTGACAGACCCTATGTTTTACAGATAGTACGGTATGTGACAGACCCTATGGTTTACAGGTAGTACGGTATGTCATAAACTCTACAGTTTACAAGTAGTACAATATGTGACAGACCCTATGTTTTACAGATAGTACGGTATGTGACAGACCCTATGGTTTACAGGAAGTACGGTATGTGATAGACCCTACAGTTTACAGGTAGTACAATATGTGACAGACCCTATGTTTTACAGATAGTACGGTATGTGACAGACCCTATGGTTTACAGGAAGTA